CACACACACACACACACACACACACACACATACACACACCCTGTGTTAGTCAGACACACCCTCACATTCAGCAGTGTTTGAGCTCTGATGAGGGTCTGAGTTTTTGGTTGCTGTATGTGTGTGAAGGATCAGTGTTTCTTTGTGAATTTTGGATTGACGGGTGTTAATGTGCAGGTAAACACAGACACACGTGTGTTCCCCAGGAATGTAAACATATGAACAAAACCACAGTCCCGTCCCACAATTCAAAGGGTCTTCAGTGGGGCTGCCATAGATTTCAGTAATGACAAATGAGAATGATTTCAGACTGATACTGAATTTCACATTTTATGTTTAGTTACACACACACACACACACACACACACACACACACACACATCTCCAGAGAGATAAGGGAGAGTTCACCCAAAAATGAAAATTCTGTCATTTTCTCACCCTCATGTTGTTCCAAAACTGTGTGAGTTTCTTTCTTCTGCTGAACACAAAAGATGATATTTTGAAGAACGTTGGTCACCAAACAGCTGACGGTAGCAATTGACTTCCATAGTATTTTCTTCCATACAATGGAAGTCAATGGCTACCAGCAACTGTTTGGTTACCAGCGTTCTTCAAAATATCATCTTTTGTGTGAACCAGCTTAATGAAATACATTCAGGTTTGGAACAACCTGAGGGTGAGTAAATTATGACAGAATTTACATGTTTGGGTGAACTGGCCCTTTAGGAACTGAAATGAGCCGGTCCTGAAGTCTCGACTGAGGAACAAAGCATTCAGAGAGAGAGGAAGCAGAAAATCTCCCAGCATTCCCAGAAACAGGCGGATCCGGCAACGGCTGAGATATTAAAATGAGCCTGTTTAGACATTCAAGTTGATTTGCAATGAAAATGTTTGAGAATTTACGCTCCAACCTATTCAGTAAAGAGTGAGACCTCCACCAGTGAGAAACTAGGATTTAATTAGCAATCACAGCCAAAACACAAAAATGAACTTTCAGCAAACACATTCAATAAATAGCAAAGAGAAAATGCCCTAATTTATATAAACGATGCCGCAGTTACACTAGACTTTGAGCGTGCATGATTTCTACAAACTCTGCAATGGTCGTATAATATGACGACACACTCAGTGGCGTCTTTTTTTAAAAGAATACAAACAAAATACAACAACATGCACTTTACTGCAACAATGCAGTACTGCAGATTTAAAGTTTGCTTGCTTTTAATTCAATTTTAATTTCTTCTACAGGTCACATGTTCACATGATACAAATTCATAGGTCAGAGTTCATCATTTCGCATCAGCTTGTGTTTCCGGTCTCCTGTATTTGCATGCATATAACTGGAAGTGTAGTATGACCATCGCTTGAGTTGTAAACTGCAGTATTTTACGAAATATTTTGCTACAAAATGCCACACAGGGGTTCGAACGAACCATTGCATGAATCCTTTTCAACCAGTTTATTTATATGAATCATTTAGATGAACCAACTCACTAAAATGAAGCACTACAACACCGGGAAAAAAAACTCTTTAGTAGAAAAGCTAGTGTTTCGGAGACAGCTGAGCAACTAAGTTAGTAGCCTCACTACTTGAGTTAGTAACTCCCCAACATCACCCACCACCACCAACAGAACCGGACACAGGACTTGTAATATTTCTGACTGTTCAGTATTATTAATGACTACTGGAAAAACAACCATCACAAATATATAGCCGAACCTGCGAAGGCTTTGGATATGCGGTCTTTCTTCCACTCCCAGGGCTGGTCGTACTCCTCCGGCGGCCTCTCGTCGTCCTGCGGTAATCTGCTCTCGCGGGAACACACACCTCCGTCTGGATCTCCTCCGTTCTCCTCCGGCTCGTACGGAGTGTCGTATAGAGGAAGCTGCCGGACCGGACTGTCTTTAGGAGCGCGACCGCCTCGGATTTCTGCCAAACGAAGACAGGAGACGACAAAATATCAACAGTCTGTGCTGGTTTCAGCATGCTTTTCTATTTTACACATTTATGCATTTAGCAGGCGCTTTTATACAAAGGGACCTACATAACCAGCAACTGTTTGGTTACCAGCGTTCTTCAAAATATCATCTTTTGTGTGAACCAGCTTAATGAAATACATTCAGGTTTGGAACAACCTGAGGGTGAGTAAATTATGACAGAATTTACATGTTTGGGTGAACTGGCCCTTTAGGAACTGAAATGAGCCGGTCCTGAAGTCTCGACTGAGGAACAAAGCATTCAGAGAGAGAGGAAGCAGAAAATCTCCCAGCATTCCCAGAAACAGGCGGATCCGGCAACGGCTGAGATATTAAAATGAGCCTGTTTAGACATTCAAGTTGATTTGCAATGAAAATGTTTGAGAATTTACGCTCCAACCTATTCAGTAAAGAGTGAGACCTCCACCAGTGAGAAACTAGGATTTAATTAGCAATCACAGCCAAAACACAAAAATGAACTTTCAGCAAACACATTCAATAAATAGCAAAGAGAAAATGCCCTAATTTATATAAACGATGCCGCAGTTACACTAGACTTTGAGCGTGCATGATTTCTACAAACTCTGCAATGGTCGTATAATATGACGACACACTCAGTGGCGTCTTTTTTTAAAAGAATACAAACAAAATACAACAACATGCACTTTACTGCAACAATGCAGTACTGCAGATTTAAAGTTTGCTTGCTTTTAATTCAATTTTAATTTCTTCTACAGGTCACATGTTCACATGATACAAATTCATAGGTCAGAGTTCATCATTTCGCATCAGCTTGTGTTTCCGGTCTCCTGTATTTGCATGCATATAACTGGAAGTGTAGTATGACCATCGCTTGAGTTGTAAACTGCAGTATTTTACGAAATATTTTGCTACAAAATGCCACACAGGGGTTCGAACGAACCATTGCATGAATCCTTTTCAACCAGTTTATTTATATGAATCATTTAGATGAACCAACTCACTAAAATGAAGCACTACAACACCGGGAAAAAAAACTCTTTAGTAGAAAAGCTAGTGTTTCGGAGACAGCTGAGCAACTAAGTTAGTAGCCTCACTACTTGAGTTAGTAACTCCCCAACATCACCCACCACCACCAACAGAACCGGACACAGGACTTGTAATATTTCTGACTGTTCAGTATTATTAATGACTACTGGAAAAACAACCATCACAAATATATAGCCGAACCTGCGAAGGCTTTGGATATGCGGTCTTTCTTCCACTCCCAGGGCTGGTCGTACTCCTCCGGCGGCCTCTCGTCGTCCTGCGGTAATCTGCTCTCGCGGGAACACACACCTCCGTCTGGATCTCCTCCGTTCTCCTCCGGCTCGTACGGAGTGTCGTATAGAGGAAGCTGCCGGACCGGACTGTCTTTAGGAGCGCGACCGCCTCGGATTTCTGCCAAACGAAGACAGGAGACGACAAAATATCAACAGTCTGTGCTGGTTTCAGCATGCTTTTCTATTTTACACATTTATGCATTTAGCAGGCGCTTTTATACAAAGGGACCTACATAAGCAATTCATCACAGAGCCAACAATATTCATGGTTTATAATGCCAGGTTTATTTGAAAGCGAGAATAGGAAGCAATTTTAGCAACCAAATTAATCAACATACACTGACATTTAGCTGCAAGGTGCCTGTTTCAGACAGTTTCTCGTTATACCTTCAGGCTTGGTTCATACTAAGTGCTTAAAAGTTTCAGTGAAACGAACAAAAATCAAGCCCAAAACACCTGAACATGCTGTTCAGGCCTGCGGCGCTCAGAGGAAACCATCTCCGAAAAACCCCCTAGTCTCATCTGAACACAACAGAGAACAGCCTGAGACAAACCAGAGACAAACCAGAGCTCACGTCCTGCAAAACGTCCTCCTAATGAGTGTGTGTGTGTGTGTGTGTGAGAGTGTCTGTGAGTGAGTGTGTGTGTGTGTGAGTGAGTGAACTTGAAAAAATGAAAATTGAAGATAAAGAAAAATATATTTTGAAGAATCTTTATTAATATATTAATTTTTGTAATATTTTCAGTCTTTTAATTTTGGTATGTTTTTGTAATTATGCTAGTTAGTATTTTTGCTTTGTGCTTTATCTTTGTTATATATATATATATATATATATATATACATACGTGTGTGTGTGTGTGTGTGTGTAGTTGTGTGTGTGTATGTGTGTGTGTGTGTGTGTATCAACACACACACACTACTGTCCAAAGGTTTGTTGTCAGTACAATTTTTATATATTTTTAAAAGAAATTAAAAAAATTTTATTCAGCAAAGATGCATTAAACTGATCAAAAGTGACAGTAAAGACATTTAT